TCAGCTCTCTCTGAGTATAGTGTATATGTGTTGAGTCTTTAAAGTTTGATTCTAAACTTTAACAGTAACAATATCATTTAGAAAATGAAATGTTGAGATAAAGGTCTCCTCTTTGTATTTTCCAGCTGCTGTTGAAGCTGATCGTGGATCATCTGGCAGAGTTCAGTGCCGACCCGGGCGTCTTCACCATGTTCTCCGAGCAGCTGAAGAAGACCTACTTCAACATCCTCATCAAACCAGAGAGGCTCGGCAAGTACGTACGCCACAAACACGTTCATCACAATCAGATCCTTTAAGATAGGACAGATTTTATCAATCCCACATAGGAAATAATAGATAAGAAAATACATCACTGGTTCCCACCCTCTTTCCTTAAGGGACCCCTTTTCTGTCATTGAGTTAACAAGCAGTTTAGATGAATTTTGAGCTGATTATTTCCTGTAAATATAACATCAGAGGTGAGTTTTATAATGGTTTTAGGAACCTTTTATACAATTCTGTCAGTATTTTTTTAACAATTATATATTCTATCTAAGCAAAATATTTAATTTAGTTTCCTTCTTAAGTTTTCTTACATCCCTAAAATCAAGAAGGCCTCATGACAGCCTATGAAGCTTTGGTGACTCTTAGTGGGGTCCTGACCCCCAGGTCGGGAACCACTGCCTTAGCTCACCAACGCTGTGGTTAAAGGACAACTACAAACATTTGATCTGTATTTAATTGGCTCACCTCTACATCGTCTTTTTGAGTTGATTTTCAGCCCGTTTTCTTTCCGCTCCTCTCTCTGTAGGGACGTTCGTCTGTTGATCCTGGAGCACTGTCGCTGGTCGGTCATTCAGAAGTATCAGGCCGTCATGAAGGGTCTGACAGTCGATGACCTCCTGACCTTTGTCAGCGGGCTGAAGGCGGAGCTGTACACTGAGGGGCTGGTGCAGGGAAACTTCACCAGCACGGTGAGACTCTGGGATGTAGGAAACAGACCTAAAGATCAGAATCAGCAGTTTCCTCAAAAGACATAAAACATTTCTCTAGCTTTAGTTTAGTGTCTGAGGTTTAGTTTGTGCTGCTCACAGTTCACTGAGGTTCATCCAGACTCAATAACTTTAAAATGAGTTATTAAATGACATTTTTAAAACCAACTTGTTCCTTAAATTTACCGTTTCAAGATCTCATGTACTTTGCTTCCTCCAACAGGAGTCCAAGGAGTTTCTGCAGTACTTTATTGAGTGAGTTTCCTGCTTCATTTGTTTATTTATAACCCTCTCCTGTTTATAAAAATTTATTTGGAATGAAACTGACTGAAAGCTCGAAGTTAAACTGAATGACGGTGCTTTTTAAAGAAGGTATTTTAACTGTTGACACCTTTTTAATGGTGATTTTGCAAAAAGGAATGTTTCTAAAATGTGTTGCATTGATGTGAGATGTATTGAGAGCTGAAATATCAGCACCCAGTCTGTCTATTTTAAGTTAGCTGAACGTTCGACAGAAGTATCATTCAGTCCTCCAGCAGTTAGATCCAGTTCAGGCTGGTCTGTGAATGTGACCTTAACGGTCCCATCTGTGTCTCTGCAGTAAGCTGCAGTTCCAGCCTCTGTCAGCAGAGGTCCCTGTGTTGTTCCGGGTGGTGGAGCTGCCTCAGAAACAACATCTCTGTAAAGTCAAATCTCTCAACAAAGGAGACGCCAACTCTGAGGTCACCGTCTACTACCAGGTAGGAAAACCATCAGACCTACAAACCACAATATGGTACAAGTACAATGAAGTACATTTTCCTCATTACACTTAAAATACCTTTACTTTCAATGCAGAACTTTCACTGAAGTAAATGATCTAAACTACTTTCTTTTTATTCTTGTGTTTAAATCTGGCTTCTGTGTGTTGCAGTCGGGGCTGAAGAACCTCAGAGAACACGCTCTGATGGAGCTGATGGTGGTAAGTGTTGACATTTGAACATAAAGCAACAGTAGTCGTATAGCATTGGAAAACTTTGACGGAAACGGCAGAATCAGAAAACCTCGGGGATCATTTGTATTTACTGTGCAGCCCGAAACAAACTGCTGGGATTTAATTTAAATAAACGGATACTGAAATAACTACATCATGATGGCAATTTATATGAAGTCTCACACTTTAGGTCTGTCTGCAAGACAACAAACAACTTCTTAAGTCAAACCGATAGCTGGAATCAAGTAACAGTCAGACATTTAGTATGTAGTCCAACTTCCTTTTACTTTTCTCTAAGTGATCTCTGTATAAATGTGTTACACATCCTGTTTTCTGCATTATTTTTCAGCATTTGAGCTTCCACTGGTGCTCTTTTATTTACGTCACCTCGTTCCATCTTTTCCGACTGGAGAATTGGCGCCACCTACTGCTTATCTCGATGATTCAGTCACATTTTTAACACATTTGGACGGAACGACTTCTTCTGTAATGGATCAGTGATGATTTGTTAATTTGACGTCTGTTTGCGTCCACAGATGCACATGGAGGAGCCCTGCTTCGACTTCCTCAGGACGAAGGAGACACTGGGGTTAGTGTCAGTCATTACTCTGAGTGTACGGATCAGTTTACAGCAGGAGGAACGTATATAAACTGTCCATACATCGTCTCATTTAATCCAGGTACCAGGTGTACCCGACCTGCAGGAACACCTCAGGGGTGCTGGGATTCTCCGTCACCGTGGAAACACAGGCCACCAAGTTCAGGTGAGCTGACCTCTCTGCGTTTCTGTGGAGCTCCAGATTTCTTATCCTTTTTTTAACGGTCCTCTTCCTCGTCCCGTTCGTCCTCGCAGCACAGAGTTCGTCGAGGCGAAGATCGAGGAGTTCCTGGTCAGCTTCGGTGAGCGTTTGTCGAGTCTGAGCGAGGAGTCCTTTAGAACCCAGGTGACGGCGCTCATCAAGCTGAAGGAGTGTGAGGACGCCCACCTGGGAGAGGAAGTGGACCGCAACTGGTTTGAGGTCGTCACACAGCAGTACGTCTTCAAGAGGCTCAACAAGGAGGTACTTACAGCACTGGTTCCCAGTTGTGTGCCATAATAATGAGACCTAGAGGATGTGGCTCTCTGGTTCTGGTCCTGTTCTGTGGCTCTAACCTGTTGTGGTCTCTGCTGCAGATCGAGGCCCTGAAGTTCTTCACTCAGGAGGAGCTGGTCTCCTGGTTCCTGGAGCACAGAAACAACAGCAGGAAGCTCAGCGTACATGTGAGTGTGTTTGTGTTCACAGATCTCTTTCAAACTGTAGACACCTGAAATACTTTTACTAGAAGTTTCTAAGTGCTTCATTATTATTCAGTACAGTCAACAGTACAGAAACATGGTGACAAAGTTTGAAGCAATGCAAACATCAAAAGCAGATTTTGCACATTTTCTAGCCTCAATGTCACTAAATTTAAGTTTTACTTCAATAGATGGGGCAGCAACAAACCATATTTTTGCTTCAATCAGTTTGACTTTGGTGTTTTAAAAAGTTCTGTGAGGTGAAATTACTCTTTATACAGCACTTTTCAAAATAAAGTTACAAAGTGCCTTACATGGCTGCAACTAAGGTCAAAAACACGATGAGGCAAAATAAAATCAAGAAAGTGTTTCAGATCCAAGGAAGGGCAAATATTGTCTTCAACATGTTTGTTTTGTGGGTCAGGTGGTCGGTTACGGTGTGGAGGAGAACGACCCCGCGGAGCAGAGTGGCGCCTGCAGCACAGACAGCCCTGACAACCCTCCCTCCTCGGCCTACGGCGAAGTGAGCGAGCTAACCTTCCTGCCGATTTCCTCGCCGTTGCTCCAGGACGTCACGCTCGTCTCCGACATCAGAGGGTTCACCTCCTCCCTGCCCCTCCACCCCTACCACAAAATCCTCAGCTAGGTCGCTGCGAACCGACGGAGACGCGTCCCCCGCTGTCTATCTCTCTAATAAAGTAACCATGGCAACAGCTAGCATTGATGTTTGATCGAAGAGGACACTGTTAGGACGGACAGAAACTGAGGAACATTTCGTGTTTTAGTTATTTTGTTTTATGTGAGTGGTTGTAATAATGCTGCATTCACACCCTGTGGGGAAAAAGTGTAACTCTGGGCCTGTATTTATAAAGCATCCCATAATCCCTCCTAGAAACCAGAAGAGTGCTGCAGGAATGAGTCCTAAAACCTGAAACCTAACAAAGTCAATGGGGTTTTAGTTAGATGCCTGAAATAAGGTCTGTGGTTAACACAAGCTTGAGAGTTTTAACGTTTTGTTCTATGACAAAATTCGCCAGTAAATACCTCATTTATTCATTTTGAAGCATTTAAGAGGCTTTTTCTTTGTCTAAATGAGATCTCCCGACAACTACAGAGGTTGTCGGGAGATTTATCTACTCTCTAGTCCGCCTTTACTGCCTCGTTGTGTTTATACTCGCGCTTAATTAAAACTGCAAGCAGCAATAAACTTGATGAACGGTAAAAACAAAGCAGATACATAACATATCATCATGACCATCTTAAGGGTCTTCTGACCACATTTCAGCTGGATCTGGTCAATCTACTCGTAGTAGTGCATGAAAGAATAAAACCTGACATTTCCTGTTGCCTGCAGATATTCAGTCGGAGTGATAGCCCCCCTCGCTATCACTACGAGGTAGATGTGCTCGAGGCTGTTTCTTGGCGAAAGATTGAAATTCTGCATTTTTTTTTTTTAAATTGTCAACTTCCTGTTAGGTTTTGGGAATGAGTCTTTGAGGATTTTTTGTTGGTCTGGACATGATCTACGTACGTACAGATTTTCATACATATCGGTTAAATGTGGCGATGTTGAACCATTTTACCGTGCCCGTGCGAGACCCATTTTACATTGCGGCTGCCAAAAATGAAACCAAAAACATTGCTGTAAGTCTGCATCGTGTCGTAGTTCTTCAGGTTTAGGTGAGCAATCTGAGAGAGGGGCTAAAATACAATAAACATTTCCAGGATCATAGAGATCTTAACTCATTCCCAGGTCTCTAAAAGTCTCTAAATTCCCTGATACACCCGACCGTGGTGTAGTTAGCTTTTTACTTAAAAAAAAAAAAAGTGTTGCTGAATAAAATGTGTAAGTATCATAAACCTTTGTTCATCACAGAGATTATTTTCTGCAATTATCCAAAATCCAATGGAACAGTCCCATTGGTTGATGCTAACTTCAGGGTTGGACTACAAAACTACATCATCCCTGCAGCTCTCTATGGGAAAGTGAATGTTTTAATGCAGATAATAGCGTCACACTAACCCCTTTCTTATGTAGCGCAAATGTGTAGCTTACAGAATATATGCAAAACTATGAGGCCAACATCGACCCGTGCTCAGACCTTATGACTGTTACCAGGAGAGACGTTCAGTCGGCACCAAGTTTCTCGGTTTAGACAAGAAAGAAAAAAAGCAATTTAAATGCAGGCGATATGGCTTTAAAATAATTTTAGATACTAATCTAAGATTTAATCTTACTAAAACTTCTCATATAGGATACTATAGGAAAATAATTCTACATGTTCTGTGTAGATAAGTGGTTTGGGGTGTGTTTTACAGTTAGTATATTCCTCCATTATAACATCCACTGTTTAAATCACAATGTTATGATTCTAACACACAATTACTGTAGTTACACACATAAAACAGAAGAAAATAAACCTCCAGCACGAGCTGGAAGAACAAGTTAAGAATGAATCGGGGCGCAGGCCCGAAGGCAAAAAAATATTTCAATACATTTAAATTTGTACAGATTTCTCTCACGTAGGATGTCTGAGCATTTACTCATTAGCTATAAGACGTTTACTCGAAAGTAACCTAAATATACAGAAATATTAAAATGTATACAGAAAAAGTGGGTTCCAGGAATTACAATATTTTATAAATGTGAACTTCAGTTGACATGGAACAATTAAATATTAAGCTCATAATTATCAATAAACCCCATAAACACTCCATCTCCTGCTCCATTGAACAGGAAGTATACTGACTCAGTTGGGACGGATCAGCTGCTCTAAGATGCTCGATAAATACAGGCCCTGAGCACGAATAGTGTCTTTGATCTTCAGCTTAGTTTGCTGAGTATGAGGAATAATATGTTTGTTGTTACTGTGAAAAAGCTGAAGCAACCAAAGTACAGAAAACTACAATCATGGCATCTTGACGGATTGAATTAAGTCTTGACTGTTTCCTTGTTGCTTTTAACTGTGAAATGATTAGTTCGATTATTCCCGGGTGAAGTGAATGCAGCGCGATGACTCAGGGCTCTGGTTTTAAATAAAAAGTCCATTATGAACGACAACAAGAAGGGCAGAACTATCACTTTAATGTCACATCAGCCAGTATCACTGAAAAAACCAACTGCTATGTTTTTATTTATCAGATATGAGTTAACTTACTGAAATCATGGAGGATGTATGTGAGGAAGTAACTGTATAGACTAACTGGATCCGATGGCCAGTGATACACAACTGTGATGTGTTTGAACTCAGAATGTACTGCAGTAGTTTGTGGAGGCTGGACAGTGCCCCCAAAATTATTTTAATCAATGCTATTTGCATTTCAGCAACAATTAAAAATACCTTATTAACTACTTCATTAAATGTTTCCGTTACATTTTGTTTGTTTTGTCTTTAAATATTAATAAATCTTTAAAATAAAGTTGTAATGTGTATATAATATTACTATTATTTCATTTATTACAGACAGCAAATGAAACCAAAGCTCTGAAGCTTGTTTTAGTTCATCATGTCACTTATAATAATAATATTGCTTTTTGTATGACTTAATCCTGCAACAATGTGCATTGCAGTGCACATAAAAAGCAGGCCAAGCAAGCGACTGTATACTTGCATACACACCTATATATTATATATATTCTATAGCCATTACACTGCAATCAACATTTACTTAATAATAAGTTAAAGCAAAAAAAGCTTTCACTTTATGTAATTAGACATTTATTGCATCAGGTTGACAAATGCATCTGTGTCCAAGACAGAGAACAGTCTAAGCAGGTCACACAAGTATACTTTATACCCACAATCATGCCCACCCAATGGTTTCTTTTTATACGGTGTAATCTTATTATAATTAACATTTGATCATGTTCTCAGTTGAATTGTAATGAACTTTTGTTATACAGATGCCTGTTTAAAGTTTTGTATTCAATAATATGAAAGGAGGAGGGTTCAGGCATGATGGGTGTTGACTGCTGTCGTCACAGGAAATGATGTTGCAGGGATGGGCTTAAGCATCACAGATGGGTGAACACAGACGATACAGTTCATAGTGCATCAGTTCATCATTAATCCCAGCGAAGCCTCTAGTAAATAGATGACTGAGGAGTTAAATTTCTTTTCAGAATAACATCACACCTCTCATGTTCCAGGAGAGATGGACAGAAGGCGTACATGACTTGAAGGTGAGAAATTCAGTGGCTGGCTTCTCATGCTTTTAATGCTTTTGTATTTAAAAGCTGAACAATGACTTCCTGTAAACCCCCTTAAAGTCTCGGCACTGCCTCTTTATTATTTCTTTGACAAGATTGTACAGCAGGGAAATGGCGCAGTGTATCAGTAGGTGAAGATTTAGGTGGATTTCATTAAGAAGATTTAAGACGTGAGTGTACGAAATCAGGAGGAGTGATCACTGACGGGAAAAAGGCCCCTCTCATTTCCAAATTTGTACATCCTGGCCTACTCATATTAGTCCCTCCCACCAGAAATGTGTGTGGAGGAAGGGAGGATAGACACAGGAAAGAGGAGTTGAGGAAACAGGCATTTAACAAAATGAGATGTCCTTGCTTTAGTTAACCATTTAATTTTAATCATGACCAATGAAGCAGTTCTTTCACTAGTTCAGTTTATTGCACTATTGTATATAAAAAGATTTGTTTTTCACTGTTTTCTGCGTCAGATGGTTCTGATGCACAGGAATTATCTGGGCAGATAAATATCAACCAAAATGAAATATTATATATTGAATTATCGGGATAATTAAATTACATTAATATATATAATTGCTTTATCTTTCTATTGTGTACTTCATCTTTTTATTGTGTTCTATTGTGTTATCTATTTATTCCTTTATCTTTTTGTGCAGCACTTTGGAAAATTTTGAAAATTGTGCTGTATATAATAAAGTGGATTGGATTGGATAATTCTCTATTTTGAATTCTTTGAAAAGGATTGATAGCCTTTGTTATATGAACTTCTTTCAGACAACTTAGCAAAGTAGTTACTTTTTGTTGTAGCTGAAGTGGTGCCATTTATGAGTCATGATCACATCACTATTTTATGCTTACTCAGTTGACAGTAGAAACCAAACAAAAGGAGAACTAAGAAGTCCGGCTTTAACACAGTCTAGGTGGTGCTGAACAGCAGGAGAAACAGAATGCAATGTAGGTTTAGTAAGTAACTAGGCCGTCCCACCACTGACCACATTTTCACTCTGACAAACAGTTTTCAAGTTACTCTTGAATTGAAAACAGTGTGTGGATTGGATTTAGTCAGTTTGGGTGTGGAATGGAAATTAGTCTTTCTTGACTGAACTAATGAATAACTACAGCAACTAACAAACATTTGGGAAAAATGCTCATGATTTCCCAGAGCCAAATCTGATGTCTTAAAATTGTTGTTTTCTGCATGACTAACACCGAAAACCCAAAGATGAAGGAAGAAAATCCTCAAATTTAAGAAGCTGAAACAAGTCAACATTTGTTATTTTTCCTTAATAATGGACTTCCATGATTAATCAATTATGGAAATTGTTGGGGATTCTATCTCTGTTGCCAACAACAATTTGCCTAATGTTAACATGGCTAAATTAATTAAGAGGGTTCGGGGTCTGGAGTCTGATTTCTTTTACAACTTACAACAATTTACCAGATTTTCTTAACTGTTCCTTTAATTATTTTAATCAATTACTGAAACTGTTTCAATTTTAGCTGATCCAAAATGAAACGCTCAACAAATCCACCATCTCCAATTGAAACATGGACCATGGAAGATGTCCACAGGTGGCTGATGACAGAGGTCAAAGTTCAGGAGACTTGTGCCGACAGATTCTCTGAAGAGGAAGTGTCAGGAGACTCTTTAGTTGACTTTGAAAAGACAGACATATTGGACTTGGGAATTAAACACGGCCCTGCTGTCAAAATCACATCTTACTTAGAAAGTCTGAAAGAAGGATCACCACGTGAATCACAGTTCCCAGCATATGTGGAAAACTGGACAAAGGAGCAGGTGAACCAGTGGTTAGTGCAGCATGTGAACATATATAGTAAATATGCAGAAAGGCTTCAAGAGGAAGATGTGTCTGGAGATTGCCTTGTTTGCTTCAAGAAGCAGGATCTTCTGGATCTAAATCTAAAAAGTGGTCCTGCAGTAAAGATTCTGGCAGAACTTCGTAAGGTGAACAAGAAACCACAGCCCACACTGCAACCCATTGTTCACACCAACAAGGACCACAAAGAGGCTCCAAAAGCCATTCAACCTGAACGGAGTCTGGCTCAGGCCATAGCAACCATACAACCAGAATCATACAACAAAACTGAATCAAAAATAGACAAACCAGTGGAAAATGAGGCTCAGCAGCCATTCAGGAAAGCTTCAGAGAAGCAGCCAAAGCCAGAGAACCTGGGGGCCAGGAGAAAAGAAACCAGTCCAGTAAGATGTTTTATTAATCACAGAATGATTGTATCCAGCCTGTTAATGGAGCTTTTTGATATAAAACTATTTTGTTAGTGCACTTTTAGAAGGCATAAAGCCATAACATTCAGGATGTTTAGAAACTATAGACAGTGAATAAAGTGTTAAGTATTCACTAAATATTTACTTCTGTTTGTTCCTGCAGACCACAGTCTTACCAGATACACCAAAGATCACTGTGGAGATCCAGAAAACCCTAGAAAACCTTTCAAAAGATGACCTAAAAAAGTTTCTATTTAATTTAAAAGGATATACAAAATCCGAGTATAAACCTATTCCTCGGAGTAGAGTGGAGGGCAGGGACACTATGGACACTGCTCAGTTAATGACTGACCACTATGGAAGCAAGGACGCTCTGCGAGTCACAACAGACATTCTGATGGAAATACAGCAGAATGAGCTTGCTGGTCAACTGAAAAAGAACATGGGTAAGATAAACAATGACGTAAACATTTTTTCCCCGATAATCTGCATAATTTTCTAATGTTTTCTATCCTAGCTTGCTGACACAAGTATTTGTGAAAAAAAAAAAAAAGTATTTGTAAAAACTGTATAGCTAATATGCACTCTTCACTATTTGTTTATTTATCAAGAATCATACTGTCATCGCCATATTGAACAGTTTTTTTGCTCATATCATGCAGGCCTACCAGTGAGCCACACTGCTGCACTGAGTCACATCTTCCTTCATTTCCATGTACACACAGTTTATTGAGTCAATCCCACATGAACCATCCTGCTGTCCGAAATACTCGCTAGAGCACCAAATGTGGATTCATCCATCGCTGAAAACAGTCCCCAACAAATGCTTTGTTTCCTGCTTTTTGTTTGAGAAAACATAATGTGGCCAGCTGTTTTAGGAAATCACAGAACCTTTTTAAAACTTAATTTTATTGTTCATACAGGTCAACAGGAGCAGGAGCAGCGGAGTCTTTCAAAAGGAGTTTTGAAAAAAGAAGCTAACCAGGGTGACAAACTAAAGAATTTGTTAACTTGTGGTGGGAATTCACTGGATAACTATGACCGATTCGTTGTTGTTATGAACAAGAGCAGTCCAGAACAAGTGCAGTATCTCCAGTTTTTGAATAAGCTGAAACTGTTTTGTGTGTTAGACTTTGACCCCAACTCTAGTGCTCCAGGGGGAGTGTGTCATTCCTACAGAGAGTCAAGGGTGGCCAATTTACATAACCCATCACAATATCAAGGACAGACTGACTCTGTGATAAAAAACCTTAACCTCTACAAACAGACCAGTTGGGTCTTCTGCAATGGCAGACATGACCTTGATGGTGACTCAAACAAGGAGTTAGACTATAGGAACTGGCTGAGGAAATCTTGCAGAGATGTAGAGCAGTTGGTTTCATTCATTTGCAACCCGAACGTTCTTCTCCATGGAAGAAGTCTCATCATATTCCTCCTACTTTCACCTGTGGACACTGAGAAAGACCCAGTCTTTGACACCTTCAAGTCTTTCATAAAACACACTAAAGAGGAAAGCATCATCACTATTTGTGAATCTCAGAGCACATATTTCAAATGGAGGGAGATGATACAAGAAAAGTGTGATTTTGACATTGACCACCTATCCATATATGAACTAACCCTAAGTGAGATCAATGGTACTATAACGGCACTGGGACCATTCAGTCAGTCGTCTGGACGGTTGCTTCCCTCTTCTGGATCCAGCGCTGTTGTCCTGAAACAGAAGGATGAAGATTTAATGACTGCCCTGGATATCTTGTGTCTTAATCAGTGTGAAAACATTTATGATGAAAACAGTCCAGAGTTTGATGACTTCAGAATCAAAGTTGAGGAAGAATTCTACAGAGGGGGAAAAGTCAAATGGTGGAACTTCTACTTCTGTGACAAAGACAAAGAGAAGCCATTTGTGAAGCGGGACAAGTATGAAAATGTGAAGAAGATGATCAGATTTCAGTTGAGAGATTTCAAAAACATGTGTACTCTGCTCAATCTGTTTCACCAGCCGGGCTGTGGTGGTACAACCTTAGCAATGCATGTGATGTGGGATCTCCGTCAAGAGTTCAGATGTGCTGTGCTGAAAGACAACACACTGCCAAAGATGGAAGTTGCCATTCAAGTCGGAAGGCTCATGAAACTTGAAAGTGAGAAACCATCTCCTGTTTTACTGTTAGTTGATGATTCAAAAGAAACAGAGAATCATTACGATCTTGTGAACTGCATACATAAAGCTGCGGTAGAGGATAACCCAAACATAAATGTGGATGACGCCTCAAACTGCAAAGTCATCATCCTTAACTGTGTTCGTTTCCATAGCCCAAAGGAGCAATACAAAAAGCTCAATCCAACACAAAGTCAATACATAGAAGCTTCATTGACACCAGAAGAACAGAATGAGTTTGAAAAGAAACTCAAAGAACTCAAAGAAACTCATGAAAAACCTGAAAACTTTTACAGCTTCATGATCATGAAGAGTAATTTTGATAAAAAATACATCAAAAATATTGCTCACAACACACTGGAGAACTTTGATTTCAGCTCAAAGAAGGCCAAACTGTTTGCCTTTCTAGCCTTACTTAACACCCATGTAGCAGAATCTGAGATCTCTCTCTCACTCTGTGAAGACTTTTTAGGAATGAAAATGATTCACTGGCAAGAAGACAGTGTGTTGGACAGAATGAAGCCATATTCAAACTTTCTCATCATAGACACAGTTGAAGAACTGGGAGGATACAAAGGAATCCGAATCCTTCATCAATCCATAGCATCTGCATGTGTGGAAGAGTTGGAGGAGAGGTACAACTTGAAAGTAAGTGATATCACTATGGAGATTCTTCACTGTGATCTGTTCTTCAGAGTTGGAGTTGTCAAAGACAGATTCATGCTCTCAATTCAACGTATGTTGATTGAAAGGCAGCGCAAGAAAGATGGAGATGGGAGAGAACTCTTCTCTCCTCTCATAGACGAAATCCACAACCAGCAAGGGAGACAAACTGTCCAAGAAATCTTTGTGAAAGCATCAACCAGGTTTGTGACAAGTGCATCTATTCCTCAGGCACTGGCAAGATACCTGTACATCAAAGAGAGTGACTTCCCAGAGGCTCTAAAATGGGCTGAACAAGCCAAGAACATTAAAGAAAATCCATACACATATGACACAATTGGGCAGATTCACAAAAGCAATTTAAAATGTAACATCCCCAAAGAAAAGCAGGAGACATCTCGCAATCCAGAAGAATTGAAGACAAACATTAAAATAGCAGATAATGCTATCGCAGTATTTAAAAAGGCTCAAGAGCTGGCAAAAACAGAGGATGAACTTGAGAAGGAAGCTGCTGATGATGAGTCGGATGATTATCCTAGAAAGTCATACAATGTTTACGGCTATGTGAATGTGCTCGAAATTGTTTTCCTGGTCTTGGAGATGTTGAGCAGATTGCCGTTCTTTAAAGAAAGTGATCCAATGAAGAAGAGGTACTTGCAGAGTTTTCTGCAAAAAGCAATCCCGATCACAAGTGTGTATAAAGAAGACAATGAGATCAACAACAGATACGTGGAGATCCTCAGAGAACATGAACATTTTCTTCTCAGTTTGAAAACTGAAGC